CTGGAGATATTTTAATTATATAAAGGGCTTCAAACAATAAAAATGATTGATACCCACTTGTAATCTCTTTTCACTGGGAACCATTTCAGTGCAATCAAGAGACCGCAGCTCTTTCTGTAAAAATGCTTCCAGTTGCTCAAGGAATTTTGGTTTATGTACTCCCTTTGGCATAAACTCATTACTCTGTTTGACWACACCAGGATTAAGATCAGGCTTGCTTGGACCAAGAGCATGTGCTGGCCAAATGTCTAAGGTGCCAGCTCTTGTGTCTACATGTGGTTGTAAAACACCTGACGGGGGGAGGGTATACTTTTCTGCTCCATTTGCTGAAGTTAAAGAGTAGCTTGGGCCRTTTAAGCCATTATATTGCCTGGGTGACTTGGTAGCACTGTGATTGGACAATGATCTGTTATGATAAAATACAAACAAAATGTGAAAATACGTACAAATTATTGTACTGTGTTGTACACATACAATAAATGATTTACAGATCAGATAAGTGAAAACCACTACAACTGAGTATACCGTGGTATATAAAAACCTTTAAATTGTAAAGCAAGCATATATTGCCATGATATATTATGAAATACTTTACTATGGACTACATGTAAGTCTCTTTATAAAACTTGATATTACAATATCTCAGCTCACTATCATGACTGTTGAAACAAGTTTATCATCACAGAACCATACAAMTATGCAAGATAAACTTTCCTTATCACAAAATATCATATAAACAATTCAAATCGTTTTAAAACATGAATGCCAGACAGCGTGTAATAAGTTGACAGAATGTTTGACTTGGTGAATATTCGCAAAAAACAATCATAATTATCATAAGTTTCAGTAAAGATACTTACGGCGGTAGTGGGGGTAGTTTTGTGTGCGACATAATCAATTATATCAGTTAAAATACTCTGAAATGACTCTTTTTATAAAGACGAAGTTTGACTTCGAACGTCCACCATATTGGATTTGTTGTTGCTATGTACGATTGCTTGGTAACTAGTCTCGATATGACTACCACAGGGAACCCAATATGTAAACACGAAAAAATACAAAGTACAATGATACAAGCTCAAAGGTAAAACAGGGATAGTTTTTAATTATGTGCACAAAAAGATAAAAACGAATCAATGATTAAGTAAAGAATGAATAAAAATGACGACTTTAAGACCATTTCCAGTGCATGTACAAAATAAAAATTGTTGCAATGTTTCTAGCAGTGTGTTTTTGAACACTTAAAATGAACATAAACAGTGACCTTTCATCGATTTGAAATCATTTTATGACAACAATTGTAAACAAAAGGTTAATGGCATCCTTTAGCTAGATGAGGTATTAATGGCAATTAAAAAACCTTTCAAATCACCATTGTGAAACAAATCCGTAGCTCTCCTCCAATGAAAACTAGGTTTATAGATAGACGGTGATACTGAGATGACGTAGTTGGCCTAATAACCATATTAGATTCTCCGCCGCTGTGAGTTCTTCCGCTTCGAATACGAAGAATCTTGAGGCGAATTTAAATGTAAACAGCTTGGATATGGTAGCCAGGATACCGTTGAGTTAACGCCGATAGTTGAACTTTTTATAAGAAATGTCGAATAAGGAAACCAGTGGGGCAAAACAGGGTCCCTTCAAGCTATATATTGTTAGGATATCGCCATGTTGCCGGGTCGTTTGGATGTATCTACTTCAGGTGGGACCATATTATCGACATATGTACTCTTACTGATTTGTTCTATAATTCTTATCTTATTTTTGCTTATATTTGAATCGATTATAGGTTTATAAAAGAAAATATACACATTGTTCTTGTGTTTACTTCAGGCAAACAGTTCAGTGTGAATAATCGCTTGGGATGTTAATTGATTTTCGCTTAAATCCCAAATACTCTTTCTTCTCCAGTTAGGACAGTTAGAATACTTTCAATTTTTATTTGAGTCTTTATGTTTATTGTCTAGACAATGAAGCAGAATCGTTTCTATGATACCACCCATGAGTGTATGACAAAATTAATAAATTAAGATATTAATACTTTCTGTGGGTCTTCWGTCTGTCCRCCACTGCAGGACATTTTCGTGCGATTCTGCGATGTGGGATTACAAAGTCACTTCATATATCCCGTAAATATATCTGCTGTTTATGTGTTAGATTTCGCATCGAAATAAATATGTGTATATAGATGATTATAGACCACCTTGCTAATTATTTATGATGTTGTGGTAAAATTCGAAAATATCGAAAAGAGTCCATTAAAATTGAATTGTTATTACACAGAATAATTTGCCGGTTGAATTGGTGGATGTGGACGTATTCGAAGGAGAGCACAAGCAACCATCTTTCACCTCGTTAAATCCACACCAAGAGGTCCCGGTTCTAGTTGACGGCAAAACCAGTGTTTTTGAGGGGTATGTAGATTAATTRAYGATCCAGTTTCCAAGAAGTTTTAGCAATGTCAACAAATAGTACCATATTGCTACCCGAGATAATGAGATGCAAATTACGATGTACAATCATTATAATAGTCAGCCGGGCATACGATCTTACGCACGAGATTTATCCAAAACCCATTCCTGTATTCCCGAGGATATTCATATAGTGCACTTTCTACTTTATTCTATTTAGACAGAATGTTATGTACAACTAACACTGTGCTTTTGTCAGGATCGCTATTTTAACATATCTGGCTCAAAAGTATACGAATTATGCCGGATGGGGAAAGACACCCATTGAGAAAAAYAGTGTACTATCGGTATTGGACTGGGCTTGCTTCGATTTACATAGGTAAGAAAAGTATGAATGAAATGATCGAGAAAGCCTTTATGGGTCTAAGGCAAAAAGGCACCATCGCTTTTTTACTTACTGGCTTATATTCCCGTTCTGCGCAACAGGGATGATTTGTGTACAGCATTTATTTGCGGTCCTTTTGGAGAAAGCTAATTGCGCACGTGACTTAAACGTAAGTCAATCGAATCTTATAGGTTTTTTGCCTCTTTTTAGAGTACTTGGTTACAAATATATTTATCCTCATTTCCTTGAGAAATACCACCTAAAGACCCACGATGACACCGAAACAATGGTCGAAAAAGGAGCAGAAGACGTGACAAAGCATTTGGAGTTAATGGAAAATTTTTATTTAAAGAAAAATCCATATTTATGTGGCACAGAGCTTACCATTGCCGATACATATGTGGCAACAATTCTGTCGCAAAGTGAATGGTTGGAGTTTGACCTCGGATTATGGCCGAAGGTTGCGGCTTGGTTCAGGAAAGTCAAAGAACAGGAACATTGGAAGACAGTTCATGAAAARCACGACGAATTTTTGTACAAGTTGAGGAAATGCCCTCATGATTGATAGGCATATGGACAACGCCAGAAAGAATTTTTGATTAATTAAGAGAGGACTTATAAATACAAGAAACTGAAGACTAGATCAGTAATACATAAGTTATTGTGCTCATGCATGTGCACGCTTCTTTTCAAGAAAGATAGATATCACTTCTCTGTACTGTGCGTAGAAGATAAGAAGTTTTTAACTGTTTTTAAAAATCCCYCTCAGCGTGATGATACGCAAGCCCCAGGCTATTCCTCTATAAAATGAGCTTTGAATCTGACCCGGCCCAGGAAGTGTCCTTTACAACGGAGCGGACCCGGACGCAATGAAAGTGGCCAGAACAACCTTGATGAATATACAAATATTCTGTCGTTAGAATGAAATAGAATTACATGTCATATATCGTTTTAAAATAAACATATTTATAAGTTTGGACTATCAAATTTACGGATGCATGCTTGGTTTCCCTGTGCCACAAGATCAGACAAATTTTAAAATTAAATTTGCGAATGCTTTTTTTTCCAAGTTTATACGGCTTGTAAAGTGAAAACAAGTGAAAAAAAAGGAAAATTAAAGGAAAAATAATGCGGATAGCAACAAAAAGAATAAGCATGACTATACTTGGACTCGAACCCACGTCCACAAAATAGAAAAAGAGATTGGGACGATTCCCCCGAGACATTCTGTGAAGCTGAGGCGTCGAATCGACTTACATTACGGTTAGAGATTTCGGCTCTTCCATGCTATCCCGATAATTGGTACTAACTTCGCGCTAACTAAAAAAGCCAGTGAGGGAGAAGCTATCCGGCCCCTAGACACTGATGGATAACCCCTTGCACTAACTAGGTAACTATCGAAAGTCTAATGTCAAATTGGGGTAGTCTATTCGGTGAAAGTGTCAAGTGGTCTATTATTATGTAAATGAGCGTGGCCCTGTGGCGAACATCGTTAATGCGGAGCGCTTTCGATACGGTGGTCAAGGGATCGATTCCATACGGCATATTGTTTTTTTTTTTTTTTTCCCTTTTTTTCTTCTTCTTTCCACATTACTTTTTATTTTACTTTCCATTTTAAATAAAATGTACATCAAAATCAATAAAAGAAAAAGAAACCCAAGAAAAATACAACAGACGAAACATGAATAAAACAAGAACCACTTCGTGTAACACACCGTGTCCTGATTACGTTAAGTGTATAGAATTTTTGCCGTGGAATGTATTTTTATCAGCACCGTGATAGATTTTGCGTATAATATTTTCCCATCATTTATTCTGAATAWTCGAACCTGGGTCTTGGATCCTGAGTTCGCCAAACGTCCTAAACTGCAAAAAGTTTTGAAAACTTAAAGTCGCTACATTTTTGAGACTGTGCCACAGATCTTCGGCCTAAACACGGTAAAAATGACTTCATTTTTCCCTGACAAACAAAGAAAATATTCAAATATTCTGATCATAATATCATAAAATTCAAATGACATCTAACGGCTGGGCTGCCTGTGCCAGCCTTACTGGACGGAACAGAGTACGCCTATTCAGGATATGCCAGTCATCGCTCAGTCAGTCAGTCATCAAAAAGATTGAATTAGACACACCTCCAATTTACACATGTATATTTAACGAACCAGGAAGTAATGAAATCATTTGAAGGGAAATTTTTGAGGCAGACTGCTGGTACAAGTTATCCGTCCTAGACTAATTTCAGGGGACTTAAGACTATATTTCTTGACATGTACCGTTGTTCATTGATCAGACTGTTGCTCGTGCTAATCACTATTCAATTAGGAGATGGTCATAAGACGCACTTGAAATCCTTCARCACTAAAAAGGTATCGTTAAGTTCGTTAAAAGAAACTATTAACTAAATCTTACAACATCAGAAACYCTTTTTTCTATTGTTATTAACCAGTACTTGTTTCAAATAGAAATAGAAAAGTGAAACATAGTCTTGTTAGTGCTGTTTAATCCTTTGCTCCGATAAACGTTTTACAGATCCTAAACGTGTAATTTCACTTGCGGTGTAAAAATGTTCAAGATTTTGTGATTTCTTTTTCGCAAGATCTGCAGCGTACGTCGGAGAGGTAAAGGTAGTTAAGCGGCTAATTCCCACTCCCCATCCCTGTCTTCTTGAGACCAGGCAAAGAAAGATTAAAAACAAAGCGGAGTGCAGTTTGGAGTGGAATTATACGAGTGATTTCGAAACCATAAGAAGCAGGAATCCAATTTTTCAAGTCAAATATGTTGTTAGTTATGAACATCAGGAAGTCTCTAAATGAAACATGCTTTTTCCGTGTTTCGATATACTATCGGGAAGCAATTCATTATTGAATGGTTGAGAAATTCCTGAGGATCGTTGAGGATCCAAGAAAAACTTAGTAACTTTTTAAGGGATACCCTAATAAAATGGGATAAATATATTCTACAAGTTTTTAAGTTTATTTGATTTGTGAGTGATAATAATCGTTTTTCCTTGGTTGCTTGCCTAACAAATTATGAATTGTCAGTCAGATAGTGCTACAAGTGCCTTGTTATAACAATCATGTATAACTAGTTTTACCCTTCGCACAATAGTACGGATTAAAAATCTTTGAAAATAAGAATATTTTTTTCCGCTATCAAGGCGTTGGATGATATCCAACATGTTATGACTCGACCTAGTTTTAGTTTAACTTTTCGAGGGCGATTCTACGACAGCCGGGTATAATTAATCCAATTTTACCCGCTGGATAAGGACATCATCGCTATGCACTTTTAAWATTCTTATTACTTTTCAGGGCAATTTGGAATCAGAAATGTTTGCTGGTAAGATTGACTATCTAATTTAATTCCTTGTCAAAGAACGTGTTACCAGGCAACAAGTAAAATAATGGAATATGACGCGCACATATATATATCGAATAGGAAAGCGGAAAATGTTGATTGAGGAATAGGTTTAAAACGAAASTTACTAATATATAGAAATCCAAATTTAAATTTCAAAGCTCTTGCGGTGTTATATAAATTCAATATTGATGTGATAAGTATTTATCCGGTGGATAGCSCTTTTCGCCCTTCGTACAACATGTACAGCAGTCCGCTGAAGTGTACTTTCTTTTAAGATGCCCGACCAGCTGAAAAGAGAAGCATTATCCAGTTTGGTATCATGATATTATGTACAACAGGAAGACAAGCTCTTGCCTATAACAACTATGGAAATTATTGTGGAATTGGAGGAAGTGGGACTCCTGTGGATAACATAGACAGGTGAAAGACTTTCAGACGCAATAGAAACGTAATAAAAAGCGTAATGAATTTGCTTTTTTATTTGCCTTAATACTGCAGCAAAAACGCTCAACGTTGACGCATAAGAAAAACATAGATAAGATGCAATAGTCTCGCTAAACCTAGAGGACATGGTTTCCTTTTATCTTCCCGCTATGTATCTTTGCAAAAACGCGTTAAAACCCGAACTAAAAGAAACGCAAAGACAACAAAACTTATGCATCAAAATGAATTATACGCAGCGAACACAGACGCAACAAAATTCATGCGCAGCAAAACCAGTCTCCTCTATCGCAGCTGTTCTGAAGCTCGTTCCCAGCAGGGAAAGACCAAAAAGAAAAACTCGAGTAACACTAATACGCGTAACAGACGCAACGCAACTTGAATTTATGTTTGATATAAACGAAGAAACGCATTCTGAAGGAACCATGAAAATAACACACGTAAATACTTGCGTAACGAATGCGGCAGCAGCAACACATAACAAAAATACAGACGACCTCTCTCACGTATAAAATGTTTTACGTCTATAGGTGCTGTAAAGCTCACGACAAATGCTATCGCAGAAATAAACATTGTTCATATTATTGGTTATTGTATGACTCGGGATTTATTAAAAGATGGCGGTCGTCTAGCCAAAAGTGTGTAATCAAATGTGGTAAGTATTGTTCCCACATTGATATCACTGCAGATACAGTTTTATCTAAAGATATTTTGTATATTTTTTGTATTTTTAAACTTCTCTTTAGATGACAGTGAAAGATGCAAGTTTAACATATGTGAGTGTGACAGGATAGCTGCGGAATGCTTCGCCAAATACCGTTACAATCCCAAGCATAAGAAAAGTTGGTGGGGCCGAAGAAGGCGCTAACGTCAAAAATGACTGAACCCGAAAATGTAGTAACTAKAAAGTTAAATTTGAAAACTTAAATGAAATGGAATGATACAAATTAAAGATAAAATCAACTCGGTCACTTCAAAGTTTATCAAGAATCTTAATTTCATGATCTTATAATAGTGCAAATAAGTTTTTTTGTACTATGATATAACTGTAAGTTGATGAGACGATCTAAGGAGTTTCCCACCTTTTCTAATACACTTTGCATACCTTTTGACTTATACTTTTTCATGTTATTTTACTGTACCACTGGAAAAATCGCGCGCTTTAAAGGTTGTAAGTTTGATCAGTATCTGATTTCCAATAAAGTTACAGAATTTTGGACACTTACATCATATTTACATCAAATTTACAACCTTTAAAGCGCGCGATGTTTTCCAGTGTACTATTAGACCAAAACAGAGATCCATGTAAAGTTARATAAAATATATTCACATCGCAAGTTGACAGACACCAACCCTTYAGTCTAATCCAATCTGGGAATTGCACCCAGTCCTCCTGACAACTACACAAGTAGATGTCAAGCGTGCTCTTTTACACCAACTAGATTTGGAGGTGGTGGGTTGGAGTCGGCGCGTCTTGGTGATGTGTTGATGGAATGAATTATATTCACTTGGACGAAAAGCATAAAAAATACCATTTCCAGATATTGATACCGAATATCTTGATGTCATCTCTTGTCACAGTACAGCCAGACACGAAAACCCCAAAAAACCACTCCCAGTGAGTGGAAAAAAAGGTTAACGTGTTATCCCAAATCATCTTGCCAAGAACTAACTTTTCTTGAAGATTAAATCTCTTGTAAACCATGGCCGTTTAGGATGCTTCTTTGCTTCTTTTCAAACATCATGTCTTCCCTCTTTATTTTCAAATGCCGATACTATTTTCTTCTCTTTACGTCATCTGCCTCAGGTTTTCAGKTATCCAACTTTAGCATCTTCAGCTTCATCTACTAGTAATTTGTCAGAATCTTGTCGGCACTCAGAGTCTTGCTGTTTGGTGTCATCCACGAACTTAGTTCTGTATTCATCCAATGGTGCTTAATGAAGATCACAGTACGTGGTTTCATCTGCCTGGTACAGCTATATTATAACACCTGGTCCTACTTCAGCCGACAACAGTACTATTAGTTTCAAAATTCATCTCCAGGAATGTTTTGTCCAATGACAGGGTGACCTATCGCCTTAGCATTCACCCAGGAAGGGTTAAACTGAGGGGAGGTAGATGCCGGCAAATCTACTTCCCCCCAGCCAAATCCCTCTTAGTCAAACACTCTGACAACACGTTACCCAATCACTGGTCAAAACATTCCCGCAGATGAATTTGGAAACCAATAGTACTGTTGGTGGCTGAAGTAGGACCAGGTGTTATAATATAGCTGTACCAGGAAGGTGCTACCACGTACCGTGATCTTCATTAAGCACCATTGGAGCCAGATATACCACTTACCATATGGGTTACCATTGTTCAGCTATTGCCCATACTACCAGATATTGTACTATTTGYTGCCATAGGATGTCATGCTATACCTGTATCTAATGCCATTGTGTGCCATTATAGTTGCTATTGCTGACCATGCTCTATCATCTGTAATTCTATAGGATGTCATTCTCTGTCATCTGTTGCCATAGGATGTCATACTATACCTGTATCTAGTGTTATAGTAAGTCATTAATAATTGCTATTGCTATTAACTTGCTCTATCATCTGTAATACCATAGGATGTCATTCTATTACTTTCTGTTGCTATAGGTTGTGTTGCTATTCTACTAGTTGCCATAGGATGTCATGCTATACTTTCTGTTGCCATAGGTTGTTGCCATTCCATCTATCATCTGCTATTCCATCTGCTGCCAGTGTCATTCTCAGTCATCTGTTGCCATAGGGTGTCATGCTATATCTGTATTTTAGTGCCATAGTAAGTCATTAATAATTGAGATTGCCAAACGTGCTCATCTGCTATTCCATCTGTTGCCATAGGGTGTCATGTGCTAACATCTGTTGCCATAGGGTGTCATTCTCAACCATTTGTTGCCATACCTGCGTGCAATATTTTCCTTTGAATTTCTGTGGAGTTTTGGGCCATTTACTCCAATATTGTGCGATTTATTGATGATTGCTCACCAGACGTTCAATATTAAAGTAAATGGCCAGAAACTTCAAAGAGATACAGAGTAAATATAGTACACATTGTAGAGAACTATGCCACAATGTCCATTGCCATATCGGAAGTCTTGCTAAACCAGCTTGAATCTAGTGCCATTATACATCTTCTCTTTCTCATTTTGTTGTCCATGCTACTTATAATCATGTTGTCTACTGATACCATCTGTTGCCATAGGATGTTATACTATACCTGTATGTAGTGCCATAGTGTATCACCTATTGTTCACACTACTTATAACCATGTTGTAGGTCTACTGGTGTCAATATATACCATCTGTTGCCATAGGATGTTATACTATACCTG